AAAATCAAGGTGAAATCGAATCAAGTTACCGTACAGAAAAAGCAACCTTCTATTTTCATATTTCTTGGACTCTTTCATCTCCTTCTTCCGCTGTTAAGTTTTTCCACACGCTTTCATCCACCACTGAACCACAAACCTCCATCTCCCTCCGCCTCGCTCCCTCCGAGCAGCGAGTGGCATCCATGGAAACACCACGAGACCACGTCGAGCACATTAGGAAGACCAAGTTCTCCATCGGAGGAGATACCAACCCCTTAACCGAAGACCTTCATCAGGCCGTCAAGAACCTTTCCGCCGAACTCTACACCAAAGATGTCCATTTCCTCATGGAACTCATCCAGGTCATCTCCACTCTCCATCCATCCATTCCATTCTTTCCACGCAGAGTACATGAATACGTACATACATGACGCATGAGTTCTTGAGTTTTTTTTGGGTTTTATGGTTGCAGAATGCGGAGGACAATGAGTACCCGGACGGGGTGGATCCGTCGCTGGAGTTTGTCATTACCTCTCGTGACATCACAGGCACGGGGGCGCCGGCAACTCTGCTCATTTTCAACAATGAGAAGGGTTTTTCTCCAAAGAATGTAGAGTCCATTTGCAGTGTTGGGCGGTCTACCAAGAAAGGCAACAGGAAACGTGGTTATATCGGGGAGAAAGGTACTTTTCTCCATTTAGTTGCTTATTTTGTTATGTTGTGTGGATTTTGCTTCGTTATGTAGTATGTGGCTGTGTCGGTGGGGCTTTGTAGGCCAAATGAGTAATCTTTAGCCAACAAACTAGAGTTGTCAATCATAATGGATTAGGTATGTGAGCTCATGTTTGACATATAGGACTGCACTTATCATTAACATTAATGAAATAACATAGGAAATAGTTTCATTAAAGGTATTTTTAGTAATTTCAGCACCCAGACTGCACTATAGAACACTTTTTCGTAAGTGAAAGTGTCTAACCTCTGATAATAGATAGCTATTTTTTTGTTTGTTTATGTGTCTTGATTGTTAGAATTAATAAAAATGGTTGGAATCCTGGATGTTAACGGTTTGAATAAGCATGGGAGCTTTCAAAGTTGGGATTCTATGTGGTTGTAGTTGTTCTGTTGCTTGTATAATGACATTAAATTTGAGGTTTTTCTGTTTGAGGTGAATAAAATGCTATATCTGAACTGTAAACAAACACAAATCATTCATGTCTATACCTCGTGGTGGTGTTGCCTGGCTCATGAAATGGTAGATTATAAGGTAAAAATTTGTAATGACCAGCCAGTGAAACATAAGTACATTGGTGATGGGAAGTAAACTGGATGAATATGTGCCTTTACTTTGCAGGGATTGGATTCAAGAGTGTCTTTCTGATCACTTCTCAGCCATACATATTCAGCAATGGCTATCAGATACGGTTCAACGAAGGGCCTTGCCCCTACTCCAATGTTGGATACATTGTTCCTGAGTGGGTGGATGAGTACCCGACTCTTTCTGATATCAAAGAAATATACGGTTCAAGTTCCACCATTCCAACCACTACAATTGTCTTGCCCTTGAAGCCTGACAAGGTCAAACCTGTGAAGATGCAGCTTTCAAGTGTTCATCCTGAAGTTTTGCTGTTTCTTTCAAAGATTAAACGCCTTTCAGTCAGGGAGGATAATGAAGATCCAAAACTTAATACTGTGAATGCAATAGCTATTACAAGTGAGATTGATTTTGTGACCAGGAAGAACATTGATGCTGAATCCTATACACTCCGTCTTGCTGCAGAAGAAAATGGTGATGGGTCTGAAAAAGAATGCAGCTACCATATGTGGAAGCAGAGGTTTCCTGTCTGGAAGGAAAATAAAGTTGAAAGGAGAATGGAAGTTGAGCAATGGGTGATCACATTGGCTTTTCCAAATCAGGAGCGTCTACATAGAGGGACCCCCCTACCTGGGGTCTATGCATTTCTTCCTACGGAGATGGTCACTAATTTCCCATTCATAATACAAGCAGATTTTGTTTTGTCATCATCAAGGGAAATGATCCTCTTGGACAACAAATGGAACCAAGGGATTCTTGAATGTGTGCCCTCTGCCTTTGTCAGTGCATTCATCTCACTGGTGAAACTGACAGAAAATGCTCCAATATCTAGTTTGCCTCGAATGTTTGGTTTCTTGCCTGTCAACAGTTCTTCCTTTGCAGAGTTGAATGCTCTAAGAGAATCAATTAGAGCAAAGTTGGTTGAAGAAGATATTGTTCCAAGTGAGTTGGTCATGGATCAGAGGCTTTTCCACAGACCTGATGAAGTAGGTAGAATTGAGCCTGCTTTCTGGGACATTTTAAAGAAGGCAGGAGAAGAAGGGGTAAGCTTGCATAATCTCTCATCTCATGATAGGTATATCTTGCATTCCTCATTTGATAAGGCAGAGTATGATCAGTTCCTGAATTTCTTAGGAGTCACCCAATTCGACTATGAATGGTATGCAGAGTGCATCCGTGGTTCTAATCTTGTGTTGTGGGTTTCAGATAATGTTTACATGGAGCTTCTTCTGTTTGTTGCTAAAAACTGGTCAAACTTTTGCAGCACCAACATTAAGAACATACCACTTCTTAAGTATGTTAGTGATGAAGAAAATGTGTCTTTATGCAGCATTTGTGAATCCTCTAACAGGAATGATCCCAGGCTATGCTTTTCATCAACTTATGATCATGCCTCATGGATGATTAATTGGAATCAGGAATTCAGATATGTGGCTAACTGTTATTTTATGCCTAAAAGCACACATGAAGCCTTCCAAACAAATTCTGAAAAATTGGTGACGGTATTTCAATGGCTTCAAGAACAGGCAAAAGTTCATTTTCTTGATGTTCATAATTATGCATTGATTGTGAATGAAAATCTCCCCAGTGACCGGAAGCTTGTTGTAACCTATGCTCACTTCTTGTGTCACTCATTCTTGAAGAAATTTTTGTCAGCAGAGCAGGTTCGTACTTTGTGTGGTAGCATGCCAATTGTAGATGATTATGGTGACGTGAGAACTAGATGGACAGGAGTTCTTGTCCCTGCTAATGGTAGCAAATGGGTGAATTTGGTTGTTTCAAAACTGTGGAAAGGAGAAGACTATGTTGTCTTGGGAGAAGACTATTTGCGTCCCAGCAGTTTTGCTGGTCAGAGAACCTCCAGTGAACAACTCGTAAAGTTTCT